GAACTATCTATCGAATACTTACAGGTGATACATTAGTAGCTAAATCTATAAGTGAAGCAAGAGTAGATTCTCATGTAAAACTGGTATTGGAACTAGGTGACCTAGATATTACAATTGATTTACATGACCATAATGAAGAGAATTCAGAAAAATATGGTGTTTTTTGGGGTATAGTAGCAAATTTTCTTGCAGGAAAGGCTGCAGACCTGATTATAGCAGTTGACAAACGTCATCATGATCTGATAGTACATCTTGCTATAGCTATTTTGGTAAAAGATCTGCTTCAACAAATTGAGAATGAATATCCACCTAATACGCTAATTCCTAGTGAACAGTAGCTAAGACTGCAATTCTGGTCCAAAAACCCGGTATATAAGAATAGTTTACAATATACAGGTCACTTATCTTTAAGATTTATAATACAAGCCTAGCAATTATATAAAGATCACCCAGATGCTCATTATGCGTCAGCTTTATTTCATTATGAGAAAGAATTTGCAGTGAAGTTCTATGATATTACGACGCTTGTGTTTCTTGACAACAAACATCGATATAAAATCAGAGAGCCTGAATATTCTGTGGCAGCTGTAGAAAGAGAAAAACAAGTGATAGTTAGGAAGAATATGACATTAGCAGTAAATGATTATAATTATACAAAAGCCAGGATGGTGTCTAGTATTATTATGCTATGCGACATCCCAGAAATAATCAATAGTGACTTCTATGCAGGTAAAGTAAAGATAGGTTTAAAAGATCCAATATTTCAGTCTTCTTCTTCTCTGTGATATATGACAGAGCTCTGTAATATTTTATTAATGAATAAACCAAGTAACCTTGTGTTGTGCAACTATATCGACGGTGGTTCTGACCATAGATATATATTTATAAGAGTTCAAATTTTGTATATTTGTTTGTTTTTGGAATTGGATCTTGATTACCTTGTTGTGATAAAAACTCCACCTTTTCATTCATGAAAAAACACAGTTGAGCGTATAATATCAATACTTAACCTCGGACTTCAAAGTATTGGATTGATACGTACCAAAATAGATTATAGATATGAAAAGCTTATTAGTAAAGCCAATACAATAAAAGATATTTGTGATATCGCGGAATCAAACCCTACCTTTAAAGAAAAGCTTATAGAAAGTATTCAGGAACCTATTAATTTCGTTCATGAGATATTTGAAAGGCAATCATTAAAAGATGAACTATTTGAAACATTCGATACTGCATCAGATGATGAAATAGAAAGATTGTAGAAAATGATTCACCTTGTTAACAATACTGTAACTCATAATGATAGTACAGTGGAGCATATAAAACAAAAAGTAAATAACTGTTAAAAATACAAATAAAATATAAAACATAATACTAATATTTTTTTTTCAAAGCCATTTTTAAAAAAATTTTATAATTACTATTGCACCATACGCCATTACTCTTTTATAATCAAGAAATGTGAAAAAGATGATTGCACTATTTGCAGACCTCCTCAGTGTTCAAGTGAGATATTTGACCAGCTTTTTTCTCTGCCAGATCCAGTTCCAGGAAATAATCTACATTATAAATCTTTCAAAAAATTGTATGGTAGTGAAACAAGTGAGAAGTACAGACCCTCTAGTTATGAAATGAAATCCAATAATGTGAAACACAAATGCTAACAAAAATATATAATGCCCTTTTGTCTATCTGCATTATGTGCCAAGAATGTTAAGATTACGGTTATTTGTGTAGAATGCGACAAACCATGACTCTTATTTAGTGCAAGAAAACTATTAGATAAGAATTGTCAAATCCTTCTTCAATTTCTGGATACAATACTATATTCATGCAGAACATCCTTTAAAAATATAAATAAATTGATGTTGACTACACTATCAGCATCTCTTGAAATAACTATTGAACCTGATGAACAAAATAGTGATAATAATAATTACGAAGAACTTGAGCTTGATGAAAATAAAGATGATTATCAAAGCGGTCAAGACGATGATAACTACAATACTAAATTTAGAGATCCTGAAGATGCTAGTACAAAAGATGCAACTAACAACCCTATTCAAGAGCTTTTTAACCATGTTTTTGTGAATAATTCATTAACATGCATCTCACCAATCGAAAAACCATATTATTCAGCAAAAATTTATCTTGATATTTGTCATTTATGTGGTAGCTCCAAGATTCCTAATGTAGCAACATCAAAAGGCTTATGGCCAACATGCTATGAATATGTTGGTATAGGAGGTTTAAAAAACTGTTATAAGTGGAAGCCAACTAGTGAGCGTATGACAAAAAATTTTGCACAGAGTAAATCTTTTTATCACATTATCTTAAATAATAAAGAACTTGATGTGTTAAAAATTTCTATATCGTAAGAAGTGCTTTGTATACTTTTTTATTTTATAAAAGTCTAAATTAATCATGTCTAACTACTATAGATACAGCTTTTGAAGACATATGGTTATGTTAATTGACATATCGTCAAGTCAAAAGTGCAACAATAACATAGGTTATAATAATTGCCTTTGTCGTAACCCTAGTTAAAGGCAATATACAGTCAGACTTCTCTAAGTGCACCCTCTATAAGTGCATATCCTCTCTAAATACATACTCAAATTCTAGCTTCAATATATATCTGACCTCTTTTTTCTTATTATTCTCTAAATGTACAATATTAAAGTGTGGTCCTAAGGGCATATATTTAGAGATGTCTAATTAAAAAAGTTACAACAATACTATAATGATATAGACTATAATAATTGACCTTTGCCGTAACCCTAGTTAAGGCAATATAAAAAATAAAAAT